CTCTCTCTCTCTCTCTCTCTCTCTCTCTCTCTCTCTCTCTCTCTCCATTCATTTATTATATTCGTTTTTTTTGGAAATCAAATGAACAGAATATATACATGAGTACATGATTGAAATAAGAATGGCGAAAAAGAAAAGATTCCTATATGGTGATGATGCATTTAGGAAGAATATTCCGTTATTTATTTTTTTGAATTGGGCTTCTCTACTCAAAGATATTTATACTGTGAGATAGGTGAAGAAACAAACAAACAAACAAACAAAACATATATAATGAGCGTATTGCTTCGATGAAATATACACACCAAACACATATTGTTGTTACCAGGAGTAAAAAAAAAGTTTAAAATTTTTCAACCATAATCATCATCATCATCGGCGAACAACAACAAAAAAGAATCCATTAAATTCTTACCCAAAAGAATCTGTTTTCAAGGGAAAAGAAAAACTTGGAAAACTTGAAAAAAATCAATCAATCAGTTATTGATTAAAGCAATAAATTTTGATTAATGAAAAACAAAGCAATAATCATTAATGACAAAAAAAAGAAAAGGAAAACAAAAACAATCACGCAATAATTAAACTAATTGAAATGAAACCCGAAAAAATTCATCTTTGGTTATTATTGTTTGTTATTATCAAACAAACAAACAAACAAAAATCGATAAAAATGAATTGGCCAATAAATTGATTTTCGTTTGTTTGTTTGTTTGCTTTGCTTTCATGATCTTCTTTGTTTCCAAACTAAACTAAACAAATACTTTTTTTTTGTTCATTCAATGGGATCTCATAATCATAAAGATTCCAAATTTTTCCCTTTATCATTATATTAATGTTTTTTTTTTTTTTTGCTTTTTTTTGCTTTCTTTGAAATTTTTACTTCAAGATGAAAGGTAAACCGTAGTAGAAAAAGAAAATCTTGCAATTTTTTTCCTTTTGTAAAAATGAAATTTCTTTTTTCTTTTTTTCCAATTATAAATTTACGATTCGAAAAGTATCATCAAGATTTCTTCTTTTTTTTTCTTCCTTCCCCATTGATTGATTTTATGATTCTCATTCAGAGAATTTGTTTGTTTGTTTGTTGCTTTTGTCTGCTGTTTGTTTGTTTGTTTGTTTGTCTGTTATTATTGTCGATGATTTTGTTTCATTCCTAACATAATAATAATAATAATAATAATAATAATAATAATAATAATAAAAGATAATTATAATTAAATCTTATTGATTGAAAACATTTGATGATGATCATCATGATGATCTTTATAAATACAACACACACACACACACACGAACACTAATTAATTAAGGAATGAAGCTTGAAAAGAAAAAAAAACATTTTGGAAAATGATGATGATTTGTTTTGGAAGCAAACAAAATAAAAATAAAAAAAAATTGAAATCATTTGCTTCTGATCACGTTATATTCAATTATATTTGATTTTTTTTTGGTTGTTTTTTGATTCATTCAATGAATGAATGAATGAATGAATGGGAAACCACACAAGAAGATGCATAGTATATAAAACAGGCAAACCAATTCGTAAACCCATAAACAACAGCAGAAAGTTATACAAGTGTTCTTTATTTTCAATGAAATTTTTATTTTCGTTTTCGTTAATAAGCCAATTAGTTTTCGCAAATTCTAGATGATGATAATGATCGTTATATAAAAAAAGAAGAAATAACATCTTCTTTTATATGGGTGATTTTTGCGTTGTTGTTGTTGTAGAGAAATTTAAATTTTCAAAAGTGATTCATTAAATCGAAAATTTCCAAGAAAAAAAAGGGGTGCAAATAGTAAATAGACAAATAAGATAAAATGATAGTGAAAAACAAAACAAAAATGAATACGAAAATCCAGATCATAGTTTGGTAATGTGCTGAATGATTCCGTTTCGATGAAAATCTAGAATCCAGAATCCAGAATCAAGAATAATGCACCCACACACACACACAGACACTAACAAAAACAAACACAAACAATAATCATTCACAAAGGGATACTATTCTCTATTTTTTTCGATTATCTTTTCATCATCATTCATTCATTCATTCATTTCGTAATCATCATCATCATGTAACTTGTTTGTTTGTTTGTTATTAGATTAATGCTAACAAACCAAAATCTCATACAAATAATAATAAATAAAAAACATAAGAAACGAAAACATTTACATCATCAT